TAACAATCTACTGTTTCCAAATGAATACAGCAATCGTGCATGCTTAAAGCCTTTTGAGTGAAGTACCACATTAAACTCAAATAATTGAATCACTGGAGTTGTGGGAACTTCCCTGCCAAACACACTAATTTCTGAGATGACAACAACTTGACCAGAAGTGAGAGCTTCATGTCAAGAATGAATTAAAACCTGTATTCCCTCTCTCCATCCTTAACTTTTCAAAAATGATTGCTTTGATTCAAAAAATGTATAACACCAAGCTTCATAAGGATTTGGTAGGAAAACTTGGTTTGGTTTCTAGAATATAATAAGCACCTACCTTAGCTCTTCACTCCTTTAATTAAATTCCTCTTCCATCCCCCCCAAATTCTTTCATTTTCTCCTCCAACTCTGCATGCCATTATTACCTTCCACCACTCTGATACACATATGCATGTATTCAGTTACTCATCTGTCTTCATTTCCTGACATCTAGATCTACTGTTCTGCTGCCTCATTGCTGACTCCTTTTAAGTTTCTCTGGACAGGCCTGTATCTGGATCTGCACCAGACCTATGGATGCTCTGCCTTCCTTTTTACTCATTTACAATTGCTTTTGCATGTTTCCAAGGTGATTTTCTCCACTGTTCATAACAAACAGGCGCAAAACAGTAACAATTCTCTGCTAGTGGCTTACCAACCAGAATTTTGGAAGTACTGTGACACCTCTGGCATCAATAATTCAAAATATTATTAAAATTTCTTTGAGCTAAATTTTTTTTATTCCCAATATTCACTGAAACCTATCCAGTCCCTTTGAAAAATCTTTAGAACTGAAACTGTTTAAAAACTGCTTTTCAAGAGTGACTCTCCAACTATTTCATAATACCTTTGTTTTTTTATAGTGTAAGTTATGGAGCTGAGTAAGATTTCTTCAGGGACAATATGGATTAATAATAGATGTAGAGGAAAAGCAGAACTGGTGAGTGCACTCACACCCTCCTAAGTCTCACTGGATGTGAAATTGTTTCTAACCAGCATATTCTGGAATGCTGACATGACCACATATACTACAGACTCATTTTAAAAAGTAGTCTTTAAAGCTTTTATACTACTGCTTACAAAATGTCTGTTACATTTTGAAGCATTTCCCACACAAATTCAGCTCCAAAAGCTCACAATATGTGAACCACAGTACAACTGGAGTTTCCAGCTGGAACAATTAATAAAAGAGTTCTTAACTGTGGTGGGTGAATTTTTGAGGGGTGGCAGACTGGGAGGTTTCATAGCTTGTGTTAGGACTGCCTAGTACTTTGGAGACCAACAGGAACAGTACCAATTTTCACAGGAAGATGTGCTACTCAGGCTAAAGTAATATTAAACTTCATTTAGCTTTCTAGTATATATACTGAAATCTGCAGTATATGAAGAAGCATGCTACATTTTAAATAAGAATGAGCCAGAACGTGTTCCTGTGCAGAAGGGGAGGCAAGTCCGTCATGTTTCTTGAGTCTATCCTCCTTCAAGCTCCTCCAGGCTTTCAGTTCTGTCAACAGATAAAATATTCTAGAGCAAAGTACCAGACCTGGACAAACTGCATTACAACCAACTGTGGTGCTCCAGAAATATTAATATCTTTTCTTTTAAAAAGAATCAAGAAGAATGTGGCTTTTGGGAAGGAATAAGAAAAAAATGAAAAATATTTTGTCTTTCCCATAGTTTAAACTCAGCTTGACAGCCGGAATTTTCACTTGTCATCCTTATAATCTATTTCTTTTCTCTGGCCACTTTCCTTCACTTAATTCAGTTAGTCTCCTGACTGACAACAAACCAAAACACTCAAGGAGGAAGACATGGCAGATGAAGCAAAAATACAGTGTGTGTTTTCAGATTTTAAAAACAAACAAGACTAGCAATTAGATTATTAAATCCAAAGTACTACATAAGAAATAGCAAAATTAAAGTGAATTGAAATATCTGGAAGTGTAAAAGTTTACCTTATTTCTTTCTACTAAAACTTCCTGGGTGCTATAAACTAAGCAGGTGAGTAAATTCAGGTGATTTATTACTCACAGAACAAAATAAATACAGTTTGTCTCTTTCCGCACAAGACCATTTTTAAAACTGCCTAGAAGTTATATTATTACACTATATATATATGCCTAAATACAAATACACACCTTCAAGTAAATTCAAACCCAGCAACTCTTCAGCAGTAACCACTGGTTTATGAGGTTAACATGGTACAAGTTAAAGCAAAGCCAAGTAGTGAAGCAATGTCACAAATAATTTTCAATAGCTTTGTATCTTTTCCATCTTCCTGTAAGCTGTGTCAATAGCCTCTACAGAAATGTCATTGAATCAGAAGAGGCAACTGCTCAGAAAAATGCCTCTTTGCACAAAAACGTTCATTATACAAAAAGAATAGCTGCAGAAATTAGGTTCAAATTAAATTGTGTACACCATTTTGAAAGAATGTCTATGCCATCATCAGTCACTGAATACTGATACTGAATACTCTGGCTTAGTATAATTAGATGTATTTATCAAGAGTATATATGCATATATATACATATATTTCTGATTTAAATGCAATTACGGTAAACAAGTAACTGGGCTAATTATATCAGGTTTTTGTAATGCAATCTTTCAGAAGTAGTCATAGAGGGCTAACATGACTTGTAGTAATAACACAATTATTTTTATCTATCAATAAGTAATTTTCCCCTTAAATAGTGAGTTCTTCTTTGTTTTAATTTAGATATTTCAAGTTACTGTTGCCAGACTTTCTGATTGTGCATCTTCTAAAGAATTGGGATGATAGAACAAATAAAGTATATAGTGATACTTCTTGAAAGGCAACAGCTTGATAAGAATACTACTTATATTTATAGTTCTGTCATGTAGCCCCATAGGATACCTTACTGAAAAGCTGAAGAAGCTGTCAGAAGGCTTGTACATGTGTGCAAGCAGATGTGTTTACACAAATATAAAAGATGTCTGTCAGAGAACTGTAAAGCAAAATAAATTTCAAAACCAGAAAATCACTTTTAAAAACAAATATTCCCTTATGGACATATTCCAATACACCAGACATACTTTAATCATTGCACAATAAGACCACAATAAGAGCTTCGCTTGGATTGAGTAACAGAAAATTTAGAGCTGCAGACATTTGCAGAATGGGAGAAGCTACTCAAAGCATATATCCAAGTTCTCAATTCAGAAAGAGAACACTACAATGCCAGATGTACAATGTTGACTATATTTAACCTTAGCTATTTGGTAACTTGTGAAACTGTTAGTGACAATAGGACTATCCTGCATTTCTGTACTTTGAAAGAATGCAAGTTATACAATGTGACAACACTATTTATTTATATTCTAATCAGACATGTCTTTAAGGATAATGGTATTTCTTCTGTATATAAAATTATTTTATGATGGCAGTTTCAGGCAACTAACACAATTGTGTTGGATATTAAAATCAGACATTAGAATTTAAAGCTAAATCTGAAGATATCATTAATTTTCTCCTGAATCACTTAGTAATTTGGCATATTCACTTATTAAACAAACAAACAAAAAAAAAACAAACCAAAAAACCAACAACTGTTTTTATTACAGGGCAATTTTAGAAGAAAAAAGGAAATGTTTTCCATAATTAATTGCATATGGAATTGAACAGGGCAGGCACTGCCTCTGAAACAACAGCTTTGGGTTTTTTTCAGAGGTTGAATTTCTTAAAATTCAGAGGCCTGCACTTTGTTTCAGTCACATGAACAGATCTAGGATTCTTAAGATATAGTCTTTTCAAAGTGCACTAAGGAGAACCATATAAGGATATTTCACGTAACAGAAAAGGGAATACAGGAAGTATGAAGTTGTGGTTCTGGAAAGAAATGTTAGAGGACAAAAAGTGCAGCAGAAAAGTAACAGTAGATTCTTGAAGATAAACATGAAAATAAACAACAGCAAGGGGGATCAGCCCATGGAAGGGTCTGACTGAAGCTGTTCTTGATGTCACTACACAGATTCACTGAGTAAGTTTGGCCAAAGTAGTTGAAGCCAAAAGGAGTCACTCCACATCAGTGACATCAGTAGGCTTCCTTCAGGCCACTACGTGCAGTCCTTCTCATCACCTCATCCTTTCATCTAGGCTGGGAATCTTCCCCATTTCACTGAACACTACTGTCTCCCATTTCTCTAAGAATTGTGTCTGTTCGCTCCCTCTAGAGGTGTTTTTTTAACCAGTCACATCTGTGCCTGCCTCAAACCAATAAAATTTCTAGCATCTCTACACTCTTCCTGTTAAAGGCAGAAGAAAAATCCATTGAGTATATTAGTGCTAATGGGAAGGCAGTGGATGGAGAAGCTCAGGAACTCTGGAAATCATGAGTGTAAATGCAAGCAGTGAGAGCACAGAGACACAGCTAAAACATAAAAAGAAATTATTTACTTTTGCTTATTTAAGCTATTCAGGTGTATGAAGATTTTTTGTGCACATTATCTACATCCCAAATATAGCATAAGGCACACTGAATACTGAAGCACAGGTCATTGTTTTATTATCTAGTCTTCAGACCTCACAGCTAGTCAGGATATCAGCTAACAGAACATTTCAAAAGCAAAGTCTACCCTCACGGAGCTTGCCATTACTGGATTTAAATATTTACTATGCTTTGAACTAGTACTACTTTAATGTTTTTCTTTCTGTTGCATATGTGACAATGTTGACAGGAGTTTCTCTCAGTTCAGGATACTAAGTACAGAGACTAAAACATTATCAGATCATGTTGACCAAACATTTGAAAGCAAGAACTCTCCCATTCCTTCCCTTTACTTCAAATACTTAATATTTTCCTTTGGGAAAGAAGCTTGTCTTTTATCTTAATAACTTCTATTTGCTTCTGGAGTATGAGTCACATTCTTCAATTATTTTCAGTTGATTGTATAATTTTTACTGAGGTTTGCTTTGTCTTTATTCAGTTTGCTTTTTTTAAAAAAGAGTATCAGCTTACCTTCTGGTGAAGTACCTGGCTTTTGAGAAAACACAGAGCTTATTTTACTCTTCTTGCTGCTGTTGCTGTTGACAGACAAGGTGGACTGAATTTTTCTGTGCATTTTTTCTGAAACAGGAGACGAAAGCTTTCTGTTGTCTGCAGGCATATGCTTGACCCCGCTGTGAATTCCACTTCCATTACTCAGACCCACATGGCCATTTTGGATTTTGCCACTTTCTTCCTCACTTCTTTCCAGTGCTGAAGGATTTGGCTGAGGCAAACGTTGAGGTTGTGCTTAAAAGTAGAAGAAAGAAAGGGTTAATTTAAATTGTAAATTGATAATTGAACACTTTAGGCTAGACTGGGAATGCAACTTTCCTTGCTCTTATTAATTTAAAACCAGACTATTAATCTTATTAATCTAAAAAAAAGACAAGTTAACATTCCCCCATCAAGACAATAAAGCACAAAATATCTCTAGATTAAAAATAATTATTAGATATTCAAAAAGCACCTCACATCTGCATGAGGCCTAGACTCCCCATTTGGCAATGCAAGGAAAGGCTTGCAAGGCTCTGTGAACTACACAGAAAGAATAATGCAAGCAATTTGAAGAAAGGGAAAAAGTCAAGACTGGGAACAAATGCAGCAAAACTGAGATAAACTTGTATTGAGGGAATGAAATTAATAATGTGTGAAATACACCCAAATGAGAGAAAAAGTGTAGGAGTAAACATACAGACAGACCACATCATTGGGCTAAGATGCAGGCTAGCCAACATGCCAGCCTTCAGAAAATAACCTGAGTGACATGGTAGGGGTCTCCTGACACTCAGCCATCACAGACCAGTATATTACAGAAAAGCACAAATACCCAGGTAAGCAACAAGTTTGAGCTTAAATTCATAAAGATCGTGGATTAATGAGAAGTATAAAACCAATCAAAACCTAATTTTGTGGAAGAGCTAACCAGAAGGAATTTGCATTCAAACACCACAGAGCTGTGACAAACCAGAGTCCCCACCTCCATATTCTTCAATTCAGAATCACAATTTTAGAAATGGCTGTAATGGACCAGTTAGGGATTTAATGGAAACACTAAAATGGTCAAAGGGGAAAAAACAACCCTGGTCAAGGTAAGAATCTGCAGTGACTTGGCTAAGTCTCTGAGAGTACATGTTATAAACTCATTCTAATGAATAAGCATGAAACTTGTCCATTCTGTGTTGAGCTTCTGTATCATAAAGGAGCATATTTGCAACAACATGGAAAAGGGATTTCCTATGTATTCTTTAGTCTGTAACTAAAGAAAATATGCATGTTTTTTTAATGTAAAGCTTTGTAATTAAAAAAATGGTTTCAATTTAACAATAATTATTTAGAAAAAAAAAATGCAGATATGCAGATTTCGTGGGGGAGAGCTAATTAAACTGTAAACACAGTAACACAACACGATTTCATAATCAAAAAGCATCAGCCCAATCACCTTTCCTAATCAAAACACTACTGCATCATGCTTGGACATAAAGAGGTTTTCAGACAGTCCAATCTTCACCTATTTAAAAATGCTATATCAAAGAAAAAGTCCAGATTCTACTAGATACCCAAAGGGCAAGAAATTTGTGCCAGAAGTAAGGAAAAACAGTGCTGCAGTTCATTCTCTTTTCAGATGGTTCATATCCATTTTCTGATGATTTCACAGTATCAAGGTAAAAAATACATATAGATAATTATAGGTAGCTTGTTCTAAAAGAAACAACTCCAGTGATCACTTCAGGTACCAGTTAACAAACTTTCCAACAACTACTACTATGACAAACAGACCAACATGGTCTCTAAAAGGACTCAGTTCTAAATTTGCCTAACAAACCCCCAATGCTTTCCTTTTATCTAGTACACTTCCTTTTATCTAGTACACTAACACCATTCTCAGATTGCTTTGTCCACTATCATAAACTTGTCATGATTAAACTTCATGAGAATCTTAAACTTTATGTTCTGGTTATGCTCACAGGCAACAAAGGATTCTTTTTCAAAATAGTTTAAATATGAACTGGTTCACGCTTTTCTTGCCACTTGATATTTTAGTCACTGCCACTAATGTTTTCAGAAGATAGCCTTGACTGCTCACATTTATCTAGGTCAGAGTAACCCTGCCTAAACCGACTTGACCAAAGTGATAATTTTCTGTTGCAGGAAAGAAAAGGAGGGCTGGGAGAAACATTCATGTTTCAGACTCCCTGAAGATGTTACAGGGAATACAAAGATCAAAGATCATTCCCTTCCATTACCACTAGTAACTGCTCAGAAACCTCCAAGCCAATAAAACAGGAGCACACTATCTGAGACCTGAAGAACTAACTGCTGCCCAAAGGCTGTTTTATTGACAATGCTGAAACAGCTTCTCCTTCAATTTTGCATTAGTGTTTGTAAAATCTATGAACAGAAGCAAAAGCAAGGCACTTTCCTCACTTTGGAATTGAATTTGTGCTATTGATGCCTTGAGAGGCTACCTAGAACAGAGGCTAGACAGTGTTAAAGGAATAAAATAGGTATTTATTAAAATGCCTTCAAAGGATACACCTTGGGCAGTACAAGGGTCTGGCCCAGACTACACCCAAGATGGATGATTGGTCACGAGTTTTATAAGTTTTGGTCCAGTTACAAATTCGGGTTAATTGCCCAATTACATGGGTTATGAAGTCCCATCCTCTCAGATTGCTCTTCTCAATTTGCTGTTTTTTATACATTTTGGGCTTGAGGCTGTAACAGTGTCTTTGGTTCTTGGTCTGGAAAAGGATTATTTTGTCTAACTAGACTGTGAATAGAACTTGCTAAAATTTTATTATGAAGCTCAGAGTTATATACTGATGCACTATGGAATCTGGAAAATATGAAAGCTAAAACTTATGGCTATATATTTGGTTAACATATCCAAGCTCTCATAAAGGTCCCAAAGCAAATTTTTAGGGAATTTTCTCCTATTTGGATAAGTATTATTAAAAGTATACTACCAGGAACCCTTCATTTAGTTTATCCTTCCACGTATGTGCAAAATTAATTTTGTTAAAAATCAAATGTTATTCCTTCCATTTTAAAAATAGTCAATGTAGACCTAATCACAGTTAAAAATCTTTGCCAATATCAGAAATTAAAATTTACTCGTTAAAATTAAGTGTTTATGTCCATAGCACCCCATAGTTTTATCTTCATTATCCCACTTAAATGCAAATTTTGTAATTAAAGAATAGTGGTTTTTATGTTTCATGTAATGTTTCCTCACCCTGCATTGCCTATGATTCCCTGCTGTGGAGTAGTGCAGTTATACCAATGAACCAGAATTGCTGGGGACAGTTAACCTTCCTCAATAAACACAAGCAGTAGACTTTTCTAAAAATCCTCTAAGTCCGGATGTCAGTTGATAAAACTGACATCTGTGACCTTTTCTAAGCCAGTTAAATTTGAGGTGGCAATTTAAATTGTTTGTATATTTTTGGGGCTTTACTACAATACACTAACTTGACAAAATATCCAAAATTCTATCTTCAAAATTAGGTGTGTTTCTGTCAAGCTAATGGATAAAGTAGATAAATGGAAAGTCTTGGAAATCTAAATAGTTATAGGTTTTTACTTTTATTATTATTTTTACTAAGGGTTTAGGGGCTTTTCTATGGTTTTTGAATTTTAATTTTTATTAAGTAATCCTGTTCCCAAAGTACTCTTACTTGAGTCTTTTAGCATTAACATAGAACTTTTTAGCTGACTGGCTTTACAGTATTCACGTGTGATACGCAGGTCAAATCAAAATGGAATAAAACCCCAAATGGATTAGTTATCTCAATTTAAATTTATTTTAACTTTATTGATAATTTTGCACTAGGGAGACTTGAATCTTATGGTTAAAACACACTTGAAACCAATTAGGAACCATATGACCGCATTCTAGCATAAAGAACAAAAGCAATTGACAGTTCCAAGATTAAATCATAACCACTCAGTTTAGAACAGAAATGTTTTTACCTTATTTTTTAAAGGTTGTGTATATCTTAAAAAAAAAAAAAAAAAAGGTGTAATATGGAGAACGACACAATGCTTCTTAAAACACAGTGATACCCAGGGACTCTCACTCTCTCTTTAATGATCCACTGCTCTCATTCAGCTGTCTTTCTTTTTTCAAATCTTTACATATGTGACAGCTCTCAAAAGTAGACCATAGACCATCTGGCATTTTCCGAGGTGTAACTTGTGCAAATTCAGCTCTACTGGGAACACAATGCTATCTTCTGCCTGCGTTATAAAAGATACAATAGAATGTAGAACTTATGAGTTGTTTTGAATTATTCATTTTTTGCCTGTATATTCAAGAAATTTTACAAACTCTGCATTTTGTACTACATAATCACATGCGTTAAAGGTACAAAGAAACTTTTTGACACCTCTTTTCTACAGAAAGATGGCATTTTGTTTGATATGTGAACATTCAGCGCCTGTTATATCATTCTAAACAGGCCGTGTGCTGCTACAAAAGATCCCATTTTACACTCTATGTATGAGCAAAAATGTTATTCTTGATATTCACTAACTAATGCAATACACATCAAAATTTCAAATATGTGTTGGATGAACATTCAGCATCGACAAATCAGCATGGTACTGGTCACTTACTATATGCCAAAGATTTAAGAAAAAAATCATTCCTCAGACAACATAGAAAAATTGTCATTTCAAACATCTACAATGAGTAGTTTGAAAATGTCCTAAGAAATACCATGCTTTTCAGGTTAATATGTTTTTAATCTTTAGCAAAACCAGTAGATTTAAGTCAATATTTTATACAGTGCTAACACTAGTGGATTTTCAATAAGAATGATAAATATTAGATTAATGATTCAATAGACTGAATCTTTTTTGATAGAAAACTAGCAGATAATATAGGTAGTAATAACTGCACATGAATCTGCTGCCTGTGGAAAAGCAATAAAAAGGCAATATATTGCTATAGCATATAATCTATTAGTGTGTTTCACACTTCCTTGTCGTTGGTTTCCTTGTAAAGTGGGCCTTAATGCAGTAACTTCTGCTGTTATTTAACTGACTTTACACAATAATTTAATTGTAATGTTACTATCTGGTGAATTCAAATAGTAAACATTTATGATGGTTTTTGATGGTTTTGAAGTAACAATGCAGATTCTCTTTCAGACTACAAAACCCTTAGCACACTTTAAATGAATATGCACCCTGACTACAACTGCTTTTACACCATGCAAAGTCTCAGCTGTTTTAAAAAGAAA